TGGCCGGAGAAGCTTTTTAAACGCTGGCGCTGGGTGGGGTGGGTCGGAGGGGGTGAGGGGGGAAAAGTCCGCAGCTCGGAGATCTGCTGCAGTCGAGCTGGGCGGAGGAGGCAGCGATCCGGCTGCTGCCCACACGTACCCCCGCCTGCTATGCCCCACTGAAATAAGCGGCGCCATCGCGGAGAGGGGGGGTCCCAGGGAAGGGAGTGGTAGGCATCCGAGTTGGGGAGAAAGAGGGACTGAAGGGTGAAGCAGTAAGCAGCCATCGGGAGCCCACCCCAAGGGCCACTTGATAGTGGTGACCCCCAAACATGTACGCCCTCCCTTGGTGTTAAGAAGAGGGGACTCCATCTGCATTGCATTGGCATGTTGAGAACCTCCTTGGAGGAGGGAAGGACATAGGAAATGGTCAGAATATCTAGTTTGGGGAGGGTGAGCAACTGTGGCCCTCCAGATGTGGTGAGGTCACAGGTCCCACCACCCTTCCAGGATGGAAGATGGAGCCCTCCAATAATTATAAGGCTACACTGTGCAGCCAACTGCCCAGGGCCTTAGACAGGTATGTTTCCAAGCCAAGATGGTAAGGAGTGAACCAGCAATGGTCTGTAGACAATGGAGACACAATCCAGTCTTGGTGCAGCCCAGTCTTGGTGCAGCATTGAAGGGGCTGTTTCCTTGGATCCACCTTAACAAACGTGGAAGTAAGCTTGAAGCTAAGAGGGAAATGATCTATTCTAGGCTGCCTAGAGAACATTGGTTTTCAGATGATCTTCCCTGCCACCAAAACCAGCTTTTTGATCTGGTGGTCACTCCCCAGTAGAGTTCCACTTGGAACTGCTCTGCTGATGCAATCAAATATTTCCAGAAGTTGTTGGCCTCTGACTTCCATCATCCCCAGCCAGTGAGCCCAAAGTCACAAATTCATCACTCTGTTCTAGGACATTGTTGAGAAGCATAGGAAAGTACCTGCGTCAGATGATGGTTCTTCTAGTTTGGACTTGACCACACCAGTGTTTGTTTAGTAGTCTATAATTTTTGGATTTCAGTTTCTAGAACTGATCATGCCCTGCTGGCATGATCAATGAATTCCAAAGCCCCAAACACTTGGATGCCAAAGCTAGTAGTAGTAGCTTTTCAGGTTTTTACACAAGCTTTCCGCAGCCTATCAGGTGTTGACAGGAAGCAAAACTGATATGTTTTCCATACAAATGTCCCATTATGTAATGACAACCATTCAGAGGGGACTTAGTCCTTCTCTACAGAAACATCACAGAGCTGATGATTTAACTTACAGACACTCCATCTATGTCTGTGCCTAAAGAATGTTCAACCATAGAATTAAACTACTTGCTTGATACTCATTCTTTCTTCATATTGTTGGAGTCTACTTGGGATTGTGTTTAGATATTAGTGACACTTCCAGATGAGCTTTTTATTGAAGAATCACAGTGCGTTATTCATAGATGGGAAATTACTAAATCATGTCATTTTTCTTTCTTGGAGATCACATTTTTTCCCAACTATTTCCTCCACATTTTTAAGGGAGAATGGAAGAAGTGGACTTTTACTGATTAGGAGATTTACATCTGGACATGCACTAAGATTCTTATTGGGCACTCAAGCATTAAATACGAAAAAAGTCTGTGTCTTCATGCACATCCGTGGTATCTTTTTCAAATGTGTTGCCACTAGTGTTCCCTAGTTGGCTAAATCGGCATGTCTGATATACTTGAGAAGAAATGACTTTTTGTTTGCAGAAGCACTAGAAGTGTGTTAAAACAGCCCATTTCCCACGCATTCAAAATATGCCCCTGGAAAGTGGGAATTCATATATTTATAATAGAAATGGGCACGGACCAGAAAAATGATTAATAGGGGTGGTTTGTAGTTCATGGCTACCCACGAACCACCCACGAACCCCAGAAAAAATGAACTGGGTCATGGTTTGGCTTTTTTCCTGTTCATGCCTGGGAGAGAGGAGCTAATGCCTTCGACCTCTCTGCCACCCACCCTCTTCCCACGGACACCCTGCCTGGTCTTGCTGCCTCTTCCTCTTCGTCCTCCACTGCTGCGATCTTTAGAGACAGTGCCTTCAAGGAGCTGGGCTGGCTCTCTCTAAAGTTGAAGCAAAACGCCACACCGAGCAGAAAAAACATTTGGCCCTCCTTTTGTTGCGGCAAAACAGGATCCTCAAACTGGTTTTTTTTTTTTTTTTGAGTTCATAGTTCAGTTTGTGCCCATCTCTAATGTATAATAAATGTCCAAATCTTTAAAATGAAAGAAAGAAGTTAAATTCTAAATGATGCATTGCCCAAGGGGCCAACAGTATGGGTACGCTCTGACTCATTCTCTCAAGTATAACGTGATCGGAGTGTAGAAGTTGTGGAAGTGTGCAATGCTGACCAATCAAGCCAGCTGAATCTACGCTGAACACAGCCCTCCCTTAGGCTTGGGTTTCAGAAAACTGCTGAAGACTAAAATCACATTGGCCCAACTTTGTTCACAATATCTGTGACCCTTGCCAGAGGAATTTTGAATCAGTCATAACTCAGCTCCTCCCTCTTTCCTTCTTTTGGCACTTGTTGGCAGATCTTTGCTATCAGAGTTGTTCTGCTGGCAGATCCCTCAAATGGCAATTCGTTCAAATAAGTCAGTAGAAGGTTTCTTTTGTTGTTGTTGTTGTTGACATAAGGAGATTTGTTCTTGCCTATTCCCAACCTTCTAAAGCTGAGGAATCTTTGAATTAGGGAATTAGGACTGCATTATAAAAATGTAACCATATAACTGGGATCCAGA